ATGGGGCAGTACAGGATTTGTAGAAGGGGGAGGACAGAGGTTTTGTAGGAGGGGCAGGGCAGGACAAGGGTTTTGTAGGAGGGGCTGACAACGGTTTTGCAAAGTTTACAAATTGTAAAAATAAAAGAAATAAAACCTTTAACATTTTTTACAGGTTTTTTTTTTGGGGGGGGAGGGGGGTGGGGGGGGGGTGGGGGTGCCAAGCACAGGATCCGCCCCTGGTGCCAAATGCTCTAGGTACGCCCTGGGTGTGACTAGGGTTCATAAACAAAGGGATTTAACTCCTAAATGGCAGAGGATTGAGCAGTGAGGCTGCAGGGGCATGTTCTATACACCAAAACTGCTTCATTAAGCTAAAGTTGTACAGGTGACTATAGTGTCCATTTAACAGTTTGTTGTGCTTCTTGGAAGAATCGTTTAGGAAGCCTAATTTGTAGCATACGGAATAGATATTGTAACCTCAGGAGTATTTTCATTTTGACTGCAGCTATCCTCCCCATCCAAGATACGTATTTCCCCTTCCAACTCGTCAATTGTTGAGAATGTTACCATAATTTTCCCGGTACAAATTTCTCTCTGGTTTTGTGAACTTTATACCTAGAAAAGTTAAATTGTCCTGCCTCCATTCATAAGCATATGTCTGTTGTAAGCTCGTATACAGCGGTGTGGACATGTGCAAGCACATTGCTTTCATTTTGAGCTATTTAATTTGTAATATGAACAGTCGCTGTATTGTTGTAGGAGGGCCTGGAGTTCTGGTATGGAAGTGGTTGGGTTAGACAATGATAGCATGACATCATCCGCAAACATGGTGATTTTGTACATTTTGTTTTTGATTTTCACCCCTTGAATCAGTTTATGTTCCCTTATAGCCTGTGCTAGTGGTTCCAGTGCGAGGATGTAAAGAGCTGTGGAGAGTGGGCAGCCCTGCCTCGTACCATTTGTAATGTTGAATGGGTTGGAGAAAAAAAAAACATTCGCGACCCGTGCTGACAGTTTGGAATAAAGTGCTGAGATTAGGGACAGGAAGCGTTGTGGGAATTCAAATTTTTGCAGGACTTTTCTTAAGAAGCTCCAGTGCAATCTGTTGAACGCCTTCTCGGCGTCCAGTGACATAAAGACCATGGGCTTTCCGGGAGGCGTCCGACTATAAAGAAGGCTGTGAAGTTTTCTTGTTCCATCAGCACCCTGTCTCCCTTTCACAAATCCTACTTGGTCCGGGTGTGTTATGAAGGGAATGAGGACTGCAACTCGGTTAGCATAAAGTTTGGCTAGGATTTTTGTGTCTGTGTTTAACAACGAGATGGCCCTTAGATTTTTTGGTTGATTTGGTGGTTTTCCCAGTTTTGGCAGCGTGGCAATATGTTCCAGTAACATCTCTGGTGGTATCTCTCCTGTTTGAACTATGTGGTTCAGTGTGTGAACTAGGTCACGAGAAAGTCTTATAATAATCGTTTGTGAAACCGTCAGGCCCCGGTGATTTCCCCGAAGGGAGTGTACGTAGCTCCGGCAGTGTGATCGGTTCTGTTAATGTATCTTTTTGGGTTTGTGTTAGTTTTTATAGATGTATCTGCGATAGGAATTTGCGGATTTCATCCTGTGTTGGTTGATTTGTTTGCGGGTCATCTTTTAAGTTGTAGAGGTCTTGGTAGTAGGCCGCTGTTTCTGCGTTTATATCTAAGGGGCTGTATATTTTTCGTCCGGTGTTGGTAATTAAATATTGGATCTTTGATTGTGTTTGTTGATGTCTAAGTAGTGATGCCAGTTTTTTGCCAGCTCTATTTTCTTGTGTGTAGTGTCTTAATTTAAGTGTTTGAGGAGTGAGTGCTATCTGTTGAAGTAGAAGGTCATTTAGTTGATTCGTAATTTGTTCAATTTCTATGCTAAGGGCCGTGTTAGGGTGCAAAAACTGGGCCGTGTTGAGGTCACGTAGTTTGTAAGGTGTAAGGTGTAGTTTCTGGGTGGTGCGATTAAGAAAAGACGCTCTGCTAATGAGCTGACCTCTAATAACTACTTTATGGGCCCTGCGAAGTTGTGGCGGGCGATATTTCAGGTTGATTGTTAAGTTAGAAGTAAGTGCTTATCTCAGTCTCAAGTTTATGTTTGAAGTCGTTATCGTATAAAAGTGGGTAATTAGTCGCCATGGGACTTACCCTCTGTGTTTGTAAGTGTCATGGGTCGTGAGGGACACAGGTGTTCTAGATAATTTACTGCAAACCAATTAGTTTGAATGACTATCTGTTCCTGTCCAAATTAAAGATAATAAAGTTGCGTGCACGCAGAAGTAAATTCACACTGAGACACAAGGTTCAGGGTAATGAAAGAACTTCAGAGAAGTTTAATGGCTTCTGACAGAAAATGGGTGCGCAGACCCTTATAAAGGCATTATTACATCATTGAAGAAAATCAAGATATAGACAAATAGACATTGTTAATTGGCTTAGGTGCTAAGATGTTAGTAAAATGCCCTCCCCATTCTTAGGTCACTATCTACGTAATTTCTTAACTCCTACAGGTTTTAGCGCCATTTTGTTAAAATGAGGAGCTCACTCGACGGGAGGGGCCTTTTGGCAGCTATCCATTTGGAGCGTAGCTGGCACTTGTTAGTTTCTCAAGGTTAAGTTTCAAGGATTTTAGTAAATACACATTTTATCAAAGCTATTTCTTGCTGACATGCAAATTCTATGTTCTATAGACAAAGCTTCCTTGTAAAACTATGGGGGCCTCTTAGAGGTATAGCAAGAGGATTTAAAGGGGCCTTACAAATTTATAGAGGCCTAATAATTCTACAACAGTCCCCCCTAAAATGTTATTTGCTAAAAGACAAAACTTTATTTGTTAGTATCAGAAGAAGTATTAGCCCAAAGACACAGAAACCCCATGACCGCTGACTTAGTGTTAATGCAAAGTGCAAGTCTATCCCTCTCTTGACCCTAACAGGCTGCAGCACATCCGTCAGTACGGTTCAGGAACACTCTTCACTCCGCTGGTAACCCATAGTGGCTTATCCACTACTTCTCCGTACGGCAGTCTACCCATAAAGACGGACGCTGTCCCTGTACTGTCCCTTCCTAGACTTTCTGCACTTCATCAGTATAAGGGAGAGTTTGTAGCGGAATACAGGGTGAGATGAGGTCTTGATCATCGATTGTCAGATGAGTGAAGGTTGGTGTTGCTTGGTCTACAGTTTTCTGCAGGAATTTCCTTAGGCATGGGAGGACACAACAAATGAGAAGAGCGAGAATAAAAAGAAAAATTAGTAAGGCAATACCAATCTGGACTAAAGCTCTCTGCCAACCAGTCATCCAACCAAACCATTTTTCCCAGGGATCAGTAACTCCAGAGTTTCTCTTTAACTCTTCTGAGAGTCTATTTAATTTAGCTATGGCCAGAGTGACTTTACCATTAGGACCTGTGTTTTCTGGAATGTAAGTGCAACAAGTCATAGTGTCGGGAAGTATTTTACAGACTCCCCTTTTTCGGCTAAGATCATGTCTAAGGCCAGTCTGTTCTGGAAGGTCATTTGGGATGTGGCCTGTAATTGCTCGGCCAAGCCCTGGAGGGCATCCCTGGTGTAGTTCACGAAGCGCTGTTGGTTGTAATAGATATAATTAATCCAATTAAGGTTTTTGTTGGCAGTGACTATGGTAAAAAGTGATTCAAAACCTACAGCTACTTCATCTCTAGCTTTAAATTCATTAGGTACCCCCTAGGCACCCCAATGGCATCTATGTAAATGTGGGGGTCAAAACTGCCTTTTACTGGGGTTTCGCGCCTTACTCTGGCTGATGTATGTGGAGGGTCGTATGTGTCATGATGATTATCAGAAATAATATGAATGGGCATGATAACTTTGGCTAGGGTACACTCACCCCACCACTCAGTTTCCAGCCTAGATCTTAACTGTAGATCCCCACATAACCAGTAAATATCCCCCAATGACCTGGTATGGTGTTGCAACAGGCGTATAGGAACAGTTCTGTAAGTGGCGCAATAACCTTTAGAAAAATTACCCATGAATTTACCAATCCCGTCATACATGGCATAACAAGTGTAATTACCTCTATAGACTGTGACTCCATCTGGTGGCTTAACATTTTCAACTAAGAGAGGGTATTCTGCCGTCCATGCCATGCAGAGGGACCTATTAAAGTCATATTGGTAGGCAAAAAGGCTTAAGAAGCAATCTTCTATCTCTAAAGGGAGAGTTAGGGGGACGGTGCCAAGGTGGGGTCGGGCACCGCCACATACATAACATGCTGTTTTATTATGTTTGTTAGCATTATACCTCATCCATTCTAACCACAGATTAATGTCATTGAATCCAGTTTCAGCGGCCATGGTATCTTCAAAAGTGGGGTTAGCGATGGCCATCATATCTTTAAAGGACTGGATATGTGGTTTTAGCGGATTTGGGACCATATGATCAGCCCCTTGCCACTCTGGAGAGTGTGACATATCTCTGAGGTAGAAATGACCTAATTTGTTGTAGGAACCTTTCTTCCAATACATTCCCATTACATATCGGTCTGCATCCTCGGGGCCAGGATGTTCAATATTTAACATTAATTTCATAGGGGTACTTCCTCCAGGCTTTCTTAAAGTCATTCTTTGAAGGAGGGATCTACCCTGATTGTCTATCTTAGATAAAGAACTTTTGGGTTTATAACCCCAGGCAGGCCCAGTATTCCATCCCGCAGCCCCCCCAGTAGTTACAGTCATAACCCCATTGTTCATCTACTACACAAACGTAAGGGTCTTTTGCTTGTGGTATATCTTTATAAATGGCTTGAATCTGTGACTTAGGGAATGGGCACTCTACAATATCACAGTAATCAAAAGTGAATGTAGCCACATGGGTACATGATGAATTATACCAGAAAGTGTACCCACTAGCATCTTTGGTGATGGCCACCTGCTGGGCTTTAAGGAGGCCAACTAAGGAGATAATGTACCAGAGGCACATGGTTGCATAGAGTTAGCTTCCTCTGGGGCAGGTGTCTTCTTGCAATGGGAAGCGTGGATCCAGTTAGGCCTTCCGGCCAATTTGACAGAGGTAGGGGAGATCAGGAGAACTTGGAACGGTCCGTCAAATCTTGGTTCCAGGGTGTGTTTTCGCACAAATTTCTTGACCAGAACCCAGTCACCGGGGAGCAGACTGTGGTTGCCTGTGTCAGAATCAGGATCTGGAATTTTAGAGAAAACTTGGACATGGATTTTGTTCAAAGCATTTGCGAGTTCAGTTACATAATCTACTAAAACATCAGTTTGAAGTTGTAGTTGTTGGGGAAAATAGCAACCTAGCCTAGGTGCAGTCCCAAATAGAATCTCGTATGGGGACAATGAGGTAGTATTTTTGTACAAGAGCATTCATTAGATCTTTTGATAAATGTGCAGGTCTGTGTGCCCATTGTACGACTGCTGGGTACAAATTCTTAGGGAGGCAGAAATTGAGGTTGTTGGAGTACACTCCATCCTTCAGAACTGCCCCTTTCTGTTTCCACTTCTGTATTTCTTCAGGGGCAACTGTAGCCTGTTGTTCCAGCAGGATTTTCAGGTCAGTTGGAAGAGTCTGCAGAGTAAATATGGGAGTTTCTTCATTTCCGGACACTCTTCTTTCCACTTCCTGTGGTTCTTTTGCAGCTTGTTTTGCAGCCTGATCAGCTAGATGGTTGCCCCTTGCTTCATCTGAGTCCAACTTCCCATGTGCTTTTATCTTCAAAATAGCCACTTCTTCTGGGAGTAGGAGGGCGTCCATCAGCTCCTTGATTGCGGAACCGTGCTTGATTGGTGTACCGGCGGTGGTAAGAAATCCTCTTGTTTTCCAAATTAATCCGAAGTCGTGAGCCACGCCCAGTGCATATCTTGAATCCGTGTAGATATTGGCGCGCTTTCCTTCAGAGATCTTGCATGCTGAAGTCAGGGCTTGCAATTCAGCTTCTTGTGCAGACATGGTTGATGGTAAAGATGATGATTTGACAATTTCATCTGTTGTGGTTACGGCATATCCTGTATGGTATCTTCCTTCTTCATCAGCATATCTTGAGCCGTCCACAAACAGGGTGAGATCGGGATCTACCAATGGGTCTTCATGCACAGTTGGTAGATGTGTTGTTTCCATTTTCATCTGTTCAAAACAGTCATGAGGTGTATCTGAGTCGTAGTCATTCACTATGGTTAAATCTTGGAACTTATTTTCCAGGAAATGACGTGGCCATGCTTTTAGGGTCAGTTGTTGGATATTTGACAACACCATTTTCCTGTAGCTGTGATTCGTCCATAGTGGCCCATGCTTTTGCCATAGGCCCAAGATCATTCCATGATATTGTTTTCAACTTGGTCACAGGGACATGTGGAATGGCAGTGTCCCAATGACGGTACAAATGCTTGAGTTCCGGAGGTAGATGAATCAAGACCATACTGTTGCCTTCAGAATCACAGTAGAAGTCTTGTGCAGTGAGTTTTACTTCGACCAGATGATAGAGTTCATCTTCATAGCAGGGTTCAGGAGTGATGTTTGATTTGTACCACATGGTACAGAAGGCATATCCTGCTCCGTCATGAAGGAGTGCTTGTCCATCATGAAAGGATAGGTTGGGATGCATTTCCTTCTTGATGAGTTTCGTCCATGATGAATCCGTAGTATACAGTTTCGTCCATGATGAATCCGTAGTATACACCCCCCTCAGGGAGTGGCAGAAGAGTGGACGGATTGAGAACTTGACATCTTTGGAGGGTAATGTTGTCAGGCAACAAAAGATGACATTGAAGGCGAAGATGCCTAGCAGGAGTAACATGCTTAAGTTGGACCTGGTTGACTATGGCAGAAATGTCATGGGGGGCCAAGACAACCAGGGGGTGGCCAAGGACAAGATCTCCAGTTCTTTCAATGAGCTCTCTGGCAGCAAAGACGGCCCGAAGGCAAGAGGGACGTCCTCTGGCCACAATATCCAGTTGGCAGGAGAAAAATCCAATAGGCCTTTGGCGGCCTCCAGGACCATGAGCCTGAGTGAGTACTCCTGTTGCATGGCCTTGTCTTTCAGAAACAAACAGTTTGAAGGGTTTGGTATAGTCTGGTAGGCCAAGAGCAGGAGCAGAAGCAATAGCACTTTTGAGAGAACAGAAGTTGTCAAGGGCTTCTGTGGACAAGCAAAATGGGTCTGACTTGAGAGCATCATAAAGAGGTTGCATAAGGAGCGAGGCTTCTGGGATCCATGCTCGGCAATAGGAAATGAGGCCTAGGAAGGCGTGTAGTGACTTCGAGGTCCTTGGAGGTGGAATGTCCAGTACCGCTCTAACTCGGTCACGGGTAAGATGTCTGGTTCCCTGAGACAGACAATGGCCAAGGAAGATAACAGTAGGTTGGCAGAATTGCAGCTTGAGACGTGAAGCTTTACATCCTTGTTCTGCTAGGTAGCAAAGAATATTAATTGAGCATTGTTCTGTTGTGGGTAGATCATCTCCACAGTAAAATGGGAAGGGAACAAAGAACTGTAGTGTCTTTTCGTGACAAAGGTGTATTCAATTGAACCTGGCCGTCTGCAGTGAGGGTGATGGATGCTTGGAGGCAGGATAGGACATCAGCACCAACACAAGAGACATCGGTGTCAGGCAGGAACGATGAGTCAGGCAGGTCTTGTTCTCTAGGAACACTGCGGGATGCACCTGTGTTAACCAGGAAACCAGGAAAGTAGTAGGGTGACCTTCAATAGGTAAAGTTACAGTGACTAGTGGCCCCCCTTGTTCCCTGTAGACACTGCCATGGCAGGGGCATTTAAGCATCAGCGGGTTTGCTCTCCTCTGTATGGGCTGTGTTACTGACTCAAACCCCTTTCTATGTCATTAGCCATAGCTTTTTGCAGTCTGAACATGTCTATCATTATAAATAATGGTTAATAGTAAGTGAAGTGAAGTTCCTATATGTCTTTGGATAAAACATTAACTATTGCGGTACTATCATTTATATTAAATAGACTATAACAATTATACCACCCTGTAACTAAAATAAACAACCAGTAGTGGCTGGGTTAATAAAACATGTCACTAATCCTTCTAATGCTAAACCATCATTTAAAGTAAAGGATGTTACTGTAAACATAAGATCTGTAACTAGCAAGATTCGATTAAGTAAAGATACAATGTTTAAAATAACTTGCATTATTTGGCTATTTCCCTTGTTGCAAGATTAATCTGGATAATCAGCTGTTATGCTCTTATATTCGTGTCCAACAGATTTCATATGTAGGTCACACCACATTTGCAAATTACATTTTAGCAACCTTCTTTTTTTTTTTTATATCACGGACAAATTGTTGATACAGGGAAACAAATGGCATGATTGTTTTAGTAATTATCTAAATGGGACGAGCATAATAGGGGTAGGCCTCATGATGGAGGCAGCCATGACAGGGGCGGGGAAGGAAATGACAGCAAGGGAGGAAGTGAGATGACGTCCATGATAGGTGTGGGAAAGGAAGACAGGAGGTGTGGGCATGGTAAGGGCGGAAGTGACGTCACTTTCAACAATACACCATATTATAACTATTAAAATAAGTCAGAGAAGCAACATTCCGTTCTGCAAAGTGAAATACTAAACTATGAACAGACCTGGCAGGTTAAATAAGACAGTTGAGAACATTATGCATTTAACAGCCCATACAGCTGTTTCTAGAAACATGTACTTTAAAATAACTTTAAAATAATAAAATGATGCAAAATAAACTCGCGGAATTCAACCAAATTCCCTTATCTTCCTCAAACCATTAATCATTTTCCTCCTCTTATACTGACTTAACAACATCGCATATTCCCTCTACACCTTCCTAAATCCCGTATTCAACACTGAATGCAATCTTGTGAGCTCGTCACTCCCACAATCCTCAGTACCTTATACTCTTATCAGTAGCTTCTGAATAACTCTACAGAACACCGAAGAGACAGACCTAAATCGCAAGCATGTCACCCCCCCCGCGTCTCACAGAAGCGAGGGGAGGGGGGGGTGTTTTAGCAGAGGGGGATTTGAGTGGAACAAGAGAGAGACTGCCTGCCAGCACGAATTTAACCATGTCAACGCTGTACAGTAACAAGACAGAAGGACAATTACATTACAAAGCAAAGAGACACAAAAACACAACATTTCATTTATACCCCCACCCTCTACCAGGGTAATGGCTAACACAAAATACAAAAACCCCACAGCGTTTTAAGATTGGGGTGGGATGGTGACCATGGTCAGCTACATTTCGGTCATTACTGACAGGATGATGGAAGTGGTCACCTCCTGGATAGGGCACTGCTGGGATAACTTCCCAGTAACACAATTATTATGATATACATACAATCTTAAACCTTTGTGATCAATATCTTCCTCAACCTATCCCTTTTGCTGAATAGCTCTTGCTACTCGGTACCAGGCTTCTGCTGTACAAACCAAATCTTGGTCCGACAGCTTCCCTTTCTTCTGTCAGTAACTTACGCCAGCTCTCTGGCTACAATCTGCCGCACAGAGGTACGGTAATTCCACATACTTTAGCAATCTTACTCACTTTCTTAACCATCTCTTCTCCTTCTCTGTCTTTCACTAGATCACATGCTAACCAACCCTTACTGGGTTTATCTAACTTCTGTCCCATCCTCCCTATACAAGGCGTCCCAGATATAGAGAGAGAAAAGAACAGAACGTCTACCGTGCTCGACTGCTACTTTAAGAGCAAGCTCTTTAAGTACGTCTTCCCAAAACGTAGACTAGTCACTGATTCCGCCTACCCGTGGTAGCCGCGGATTGGAGCGTGGCGAGAAGTGTGTGACCAATCACTTCTCTCAACAAAGAGAAAGAGAAATAGGAGGGGAAAGTGTAAATAGTACAGTGAGTAAGATAGAAGTAAACACAGGAATCTGTGTGACAGACAATTAAGATAATAACATTTCAGTGTAAATACAGTGAATGCATCACAGTTCAAATAAGTTCAACAGTTTTATCCCTTGCCTTTACTCGTGTGGCCAAAAGCCACCTCCCTCAACCTCGTAGTGTCCCTGTTGCGGACCCACCCGCAAGTCTCACTACCAGCAGCCACAGGAAACAGCAACAGCTTCCAACCCGAATCCTGTATAGCCTAAAGAATTGGAATCTTACCTGTCTCAGCGCTTGAGACTGGAATTTTACCAAGAAGAAGTGTCTGATGAGGCTAGCTAAGCGGTCAAAATGACACTCTGGGGATCCCCAGGAAGCAGTGAGTCTACTGCCCTCCACAGATCCCCCCTACTCTTTTTCCTTACAGCCACAGCCACATGGCTCCTAAAAGAGTTAAACAGGCAATAGAGGACCCCCAGGAAAACTTCCACAGGTCCACCCCCCTTTTTCCTTACTACCACAGGTATGTGGTACCTAAAAGGGGTTAAACAGGCACTTACACTCCCCGGGTACTAAGTTAAACACATACCAATACAAACACACCCAGGCAACAGATAGTCAACATGCAGGTAAACTAGGTATCATTAACAATACAAAGACTCTGGGCAAGTTATTACCTGACTTTGATGTCCTCTCGGTAGCAGTCACAGACACTGGGACAGGTCAATCACAGGGGCAGGAACATACCGGCTAGGTGCTGCAGCAATCTCTACCGTGTATTCAGAGGTGATCAGGCTCTTTTCCTTCCCCCAGGATTCAGCCCCCCCAGCGTCTTCTTGGACAGCTGCCCAGACTGGACATAGCCCAGAGCCCCACGTTGAGGCGCCAATTGTTCTAGATAATTTACTGCAAACCAATTAGTTTGAATGACTATCTGTTCCTGTCCAAATTAAAGATAATAAAGTTGCGTGCACGCAGAAGTAAATTCACACTGAGACACAAGGTTCAGGGTAATGAAAGAACTTCAGAGAAGTTTAATGGCTTCTGACAGAAAATGGGTGCGCAGACCCTTATAAAGGCATTATTACATCATTGAAGAAAATCAAGATATAGACAAATAGACATTGTTAATTGGCTTAGGTGCTAAGATGTTAGTAAAATGCCCTCCCCATTCTTAGGTCACTATCTACGTAATTTCTTAACTCCTACAGGTTTTAGCGCCATTTTGTTAAAATGAGGAGTTCACTCGACGGGAGGGGCCTTTTGGCAGCTATCCATTTAGAGCGTAGCTGGCACTTGTTAGTTTCTCAAGGTTAAGTTTCAAGGATTTTAGTAAATACACATTTTATCAAAGCTATTTCTTGCTGACATGCAAATTCTATGTTCTATAGACAAAGCTTCCTTGTAAAACTATGGGGGCCTCTTAGAGGTATAGCAAGAGGATTTAAAGGGGCCTTACAAATTTATAGAGGCCTAATAATTCTACAACACAGGGGCATGGTCTGACTACGTGGCATTGTATAGTCGAGGGGAGCAAGTCCCTAGATACCAGTATGACATCTATCCTAGAATGAGTTTCGTGAACTCTGGAATAGAAGGTGTAGTTTTTCTCATTTGGATTTTTTGTTTGCCATATGTCATAAAGGTTGTGGTCTAGCAGTAGTTTTGTAATGGCTTTACACTGTGGCATTAGGGATTTAAATCTGGGAGTTGAGGGGGTTGCTGTCATATCCATGTGCGATTGTAGGATGTGGTTCATGTCTCCACATATTATGAGAGAGGTCATGTTCTGTTGGGGTATTTTGCTCAGTACTTTATGTAAGAAGTTGCGCTGATTGGAGTTAGGACTATATATGCCCACCAATGTGTACATGACATTATTAATTTGGCATTGAATTATTAAGTATCGGCCTTGCGTGTCTTTTTTGATGTGTAGCAGCTCGAACATCAGTGATTTGTGGAACAAGAGCGATACCCCCCTGGTTTTAGATGAGTAAGTTGCATGGTACTGGATTGGATAGCCCTGTTTCCCAAACTCTGGCACCCTTCTTAGGTCAGTGTGTGCTGTAGCAAATTCTGCAATCTTGTTCTCCATGTGGGAGGTGCGTTTGTTGAGTTCTTACATGTCTTTTCTCAGCAAATCTGCCGTGTGTTGCCATGAAGCAATTAATTTGTTTGTCAGAGTGCTTGTTGTAAGTAGCTCCTCATAAGTTTATTGGAGTCCAGTTCGTTTACCGCCATGGTGTGCTCAGGTCCGTCAGAGCTGGGTCCGCCATCTTGGGACAAGGCCTGAGTATCCTCCGCCTCCTGGTGCGTCTTATTTCCAAAGAAGTTAAGTTTATCAGATTTAGGTGCAGCCTTTTTGCCCCTCTGTTGTGCCATCTTGTGGGTATTTGTTTTTAAACCGCCCTATTATGCAGGATGTACTCGGATTGTCGAACCCGTGGTGCCGGAGCGAAGGGATCACGCATCCATTCCTCTCGGCGGTTAGCCACGCCCCCCGCACGCACATTTTAATAGTCCATAGGAAAGCATTTCTCATGGCAGCTTTCCTATGGATGTTCTGCAGAAACGCCTATAGCTGCTGTCAGGAAGACAGCCACTAGAGGTTGGATTAACCCTGCTATGTAAACATAACAGTTTCTCTGAAACTGCTATGTTTATATGTGAAGGGTTAAAACCTGGGATCTGGCACCCAGACCACTTCATTGAGCTGAAGTGGTCTGGGTGACTATTGTGTCCTTTTAATCATTTAAGAAGTGCCTTAAGGGGCGGGTCTTGCCTGAGCACCGGAGCATTCCTCAGAGCTCCGTACCACAAGTGCTTAAATCGCTAGACGCCGGCTACCTCAACGCCTTACCGACATCTGGAAAGACAGAGCACACATCAGGACACCCTGCTGCACATGCCTATGCCTTTTTTTCTCGCCCCGATGGTGAAACACCGCACTCGCGCTCCCAAGGCCTACCGCGTGAGCAGATAGACTCGGGAGTTAGAGGGGCTATAACGGGTATGGAGTAACGTGGCGATACCGGAGCACTATCTAGCTGACCACACTGCCGAAGAAATGGGCAGAAAGTCACAAAAACCGACTGCCCCACACAAAGGGCCCACAGGGACATGGGCCTCATGCTACAGGTGCCAGCATCCCGGGAAACCTCACCATCTAGGCTCTCAGGGGAAGAACCCCCCCCCAACAGCCCACCACAGCCTTCACCAGGCAGAAAGACCATACAGAACTCAGCACCAGCCACCAAGCAGGACATACAAACCATTTTAAACGGCCTGCAATATAATCTGCAGCAAATGTGGAAGGCAGACTTGGCATTTATGGCTACAGAAGTACAAGCTGTGACAGAACGGACCCGAGCCACAGAAAAAGAGATAGTGGAGCTTAAGCAGGGACTGCAAACACTTGGCAACAAGGTGCACCAACTACAAATTTCACACACTGCAATCACAAGGAAAGTTACTACCCTTGATAACAGAGGCAGGCGGAAGAATCTAAAGATTAGAAGGGTCTCTGAGACAGTTCCCCCAGAAGAACTCCCCCACTTTGTCAGGCGACTGGTAGCCACCGTACTACCAACGAGACAGGCTAAACACTTCTCCATTGAAGGGGTATACCGCATTGCTAAATCACCCCAAGCTCCCGCACCAGCACACCGGGATATAATACTGAGATGCCAAACCCTGTCTGATAAAATAGGCCTAATGACGGCCCTTAAAGGAAAGACTCCCTTTGAATTTGAAGACTGCACTATATCCCTCTTCCACGACTTAAGCCGAACCACGCTG